ATAAATCAAAAAATCAACCGGGCGTGGTAGCGCATGCCTGTAATTCCGGCTACTTGGAAGTCTGAGGCGGAAGGATCGCCGGACCCTAGCAGGTCGAGGCTGCGGTGGCCAGGAGCGGCCACTGCACTCCAGTCTGGGCCACAGAGTGAGAGTCCAACTCAAAAAAAAAAAAAAAAATGTAATACTTTAGCAGGTAATAAACTTATGAAATTTGTTACTCCAAAAAGGTGGGGGATTTTTGGTTGTTTATTATTACTTTTTTAAGTCAGGGTGTCACTCTATCACCCAGGCTGGAGTACAGTGGCACAGTCACAGCTTATGGCAGCTCTCAACTCCTAGGCTCAAGTGATTCTCCCACCTCATTCTCCCAAGTAGCTGGGACATGTGTACTATAAGCACGTGCCACCACACCCCACTAATTTTTGTTTTGAGTTAGAATCTCACTCTCACTCAGGCTGGAGTGCAGCGGCACACTCAGTCACTGCAGCCTCAACCTGCTGGGCTCAGGTGATCCTTCCGTCTCAGCCTTCCAAGTACCTGGAACTACAGGTGTGTGCCACCACACCTGACTAATTTTTTGATTTATTATAGAGACCAAGTCTTACCATGTTGCCCAGGTTGATCTCAAAATCCTCGAGCTCAGGCAATTCTCTCACCTCTACCTCCCAAAGTGCTGGGATTACAGGCATGAGCCACTGTGTCCAGCCAATTTCTTTTTTTGTAGAAACAAGGTCTCGCTTTGTTGCACATGCTGGTCTTGAACTCCAGGACTCAAGCAATCATCCTGTCACAGCCTCTCAAAATGCTGGAATTACAGGGATGAGCCATTGTGCCCAGCAAAGGTGCTTTAAATTTTAAAAATTGAGCCAGGCTCAGTGGCTCAGCCTGTAATCCTGTGCCTTTGGGAGGCTGAGGTGAGTGGATTGCCTAAGTTCACGGGTTCAAGACCCACCTGGGCAACTTGGCGAGACCTCATCTCTACAATAAATCAAAAAATTAGCCAGGCGTGGTAGC